ATACAGGTCAAGTTTTGAAGCTGGTTGAGTCCACTCCACCATCCAGTTTCTGTCTTTTGGCTTCACACTCACCTGCTGCGGGGGTTTGGGACGAACTGCACAACAAGAGCTTGTGTCATGAATAAGTAACGCAGAGCCCTGAGAGGCAAGTTAGAAAACAATATTCTGGTAATAATGTTTTATGGCTGAGCTAAATGGTTTTCTCTCCTGTGTTTATGACTCAAGAAGAACACAAATGTTTTGCCTGTTATCTTTCCAAGTTTCTAAATAAAGTTGTTTTGGGATAATTTATAACAAAAAAAAGGTTTGTCAGCAAAACATAATTTCCTGAGATTAGTTTTTTTTTAAAAACCATGCTTGTTGGGAAAATACTGAATGTACACTTCTAATATCAGAGTCCACATGATAACAAAGGCCCTACGTAGCCGTGTACATGACAGGATGTATGATTACCTAGAAGAGCATCAGGACTGTTTGAGGCATATGATAGCTATGTGATTAACATGCTGATTCAGCCTCTATGGAGAGAGACATATGACAAGCATGCTCATTTCTGACGTGGAGCTAATCTGAACTAAACATTGAATACTGCTTTCTATTCCTCCATCTTGTGACTGTGTAACTCCCTCTCTTGTATAACAGGGACACGGTTCAGGAACTAGTAGTATCATATGCTCTGTACGTGATGACTAATTGTTACTTGATTAAACATTACATTTTAAGCCAAGAAAGACCGTAACGTTTTACATCCTTAAAATGTTTAAGAGGGTTCAGAATTGAGCAGTAAGTTTGCTGTGTGAATGCTTAATGGAGAGGTAGCAGACCTCTCGTGTCATTTTTACATAAGAGTCTTTTAATAATTTGGGAGGGCTTCCCATATTAGAGGGCTATTATAAGGAACATCTGTATTTATAGAAACTGGCTTGAGAACTGGCTTTTTTTTTATCAATGAAAAGACCTTTTTTGTGTTGTTGTTAAATGTTTGTTACAAGTGTGTTACAGTATGTGTGATTTGTCATATGACCTGATCTTATCTTATTGCCTTGTATTTAGTGTACATGCCAGCAGTTTGGTTAGCTTGGGTCATGAATAAGTAACACAGAGCCACGATAGGCAAGTTAGAAAACAATATTCTGGTAATATTTTTTTATGGCTGAGCTATATTGTGTTCTCTCTTGTTCTTGTGTTTATGATGAAGAGGAACACACATTTTTAGCTTGGGTTATATTTATAAGTTTCAAAGTAAAGTTTACCAGGATACATTATTTTTAAAGTTTGTCAGAAAAAATGTAGCAGCAAGTTTGCTGTGTAAATGCCTTAATGGAGAGGTACCAGACCTCCCATGTCTCTTTGTGTCATAAGTTATACTTAAGACTCTTCTGAATTTGAGTAATTCAGTTCAAATTAGAGGGCTAAGGAACATCTGTGTTTTGAAAAGTGTTTTAATCGATCAAAATACCTTTTTTGTGTGTTATGTGTAATTTGTCACATGACAACAACAACAATATAAAGCCAGCCACGTGATGGTATCTTATTGCCTTGTAATTAGTGTACAGGCCTGCAGTTAGGTTATTGAAACACTAGGTGGGGGCACTCCATCACATCACAGTTACTCCGCTCCTCGCCCTGCAGTTTCATCGCCCCATGGTGTGTGTTTTAATTGGTCTCTCCTCCATAATCCACTAACTCTAGCTGTGCCCTCTGGATGTCCACTCACTGTGTTCGCAGACGTTAAAGCTCTTGGCAGGGTGGGATGGTTGGAGCTCTACCAGCAGATGTTTGGGGTCTGCATCCGTCAGGGAGCAGCTGTACCTCACAACCCCCCCACCGGGGTCCGAGCTCACTGTCAGGTTCACACAGCGCCTCTCAGACCTGAAGCCACGGATTACAAGGAGATGGGAGATGGATGAAAGGATGATAAATAACCGGATGCATTTTCCAGCCAGGTGGTTTTGTCCACTTACGGCGGCGTCTGGTTGTTTGGAAGGACCAGCTGGTAGGTGATGAAGTGATCCACGTCCCTGCTCACCTCCCAGCTGCACGTCACCTCCCTCTCTCCATCCAGGACACAATGCAAGCTGGGAATCTGCCCAGTGTCTAAACCCAGAGAAAAAGAACTAATAACAACAGCTGCAAGCGCCAGACTTTTCATCAGAGAAGGAAGATTAGAAATGTGAGAAAAGGAGATAAAGAGCAGGGTTTCTTATAGAAGAAAGGTCAGAGATAGAAGATTTATTCACATCCTTAACTTCATTAAAAGTCCCATTACATTATTTTAAAAGTACTCGAAGTAAAAGTACAAATGTATTAAAAAGTACTTAAAGTATCAATAGTTACTTATTCTGCAGAAAAATGGCTTCCATTTATGATAAATTATTATAAATGTGACATTACATTGTTCATTTTGTTGCATTAGCATTTAGCTGTTTTACACAAAGTCCTTGAACACCAATTATACATGTTTTTCTAACCCTTTGTTTAATATATTGGAGACTTGTACCTTTTTGTACTTCAAACATTTAGGTTAAAAGTTAGGATTAAAATCAATTATTTCCCTTTTCAATGAAACAGAGTAGGAAGTAGCATTAAATGGAAAAACTCAAAGTTCTTCAGGTACTTCAAAATCGTGATTGTAACTATAACTTTTTAGGTGTTTTAAAGGTAACCTATTATGCAAAATCCACCTTTTCATGTATTTTCTACATCAACATGTGTCCCCTCTTCTTCATGTCTCTTCTACATCAACATGTGTCCCCTCTTCTTCATGTCTCTTCTCCATCAACATGTGTCCCCTCTTCTTCATGTCTCTTCTACATCAACATGTGTCCCCTCTTCTTCATGTCTCTTCTACATCAACATCAACATGTGTCTCCTCTTCTTCATGTATCTTCTACATCAACATGTGTCCTCTCTTCTTCATGTATCTTCTACATCAACATGTGTCCCCTCTTCTTCATGTCTCTTCTACATCAACATGTGTCCCCTCTTCTTCATGTCTCTTCTACATCAACATGTGTCCCCTCTTCTTCATGTCTCTTCTACATCAACATGTGTCCCCTCTTCTTCATGTGTCTTCTACATCAACATGTGTCCCCTCTTCTTCATGTCTCTTCTACATCAACATGTGTCCCCTCTTCTTCATGTATCTTCTACATCAACATGTGTCCCCTCTTCTTCATGTCTCTTCAACATCAACATGTGTCTCCTCTTCTTCATGTATCTTCTACATCAACATGTGTCCCCTCTTCTTCATGTCTCTTCTACATCAACATGTGTCTCCTCTTCTTCATGTCTCTTCTACATCAACATGTGTCCCCTCTTCTTCATGTCTCTTCTACATCAACATGTGTTCCCTCTTCTTCATGTCTCTTCTACATCAACATGTGTCCCCTCTTCTTCATGTCTCTTCTACATCAACATGTGTCCCCTCTTCTTCATGTGTCTTCTACATCAACATGTGTCCCTCTTCTTCATGTCTCCTCTACATCAACATGTGTCCCCTCTTCTTCATGTCTCTTCTACATCAACATGTGTCCCCTCTTCTTCATGTCTCTTCTACATCAACATGTGGTCCCCTCTTCTTCATGTGTCTTCTACATCAACATGTGTCCCCTCTTCTCATGTCTCTTCTACATCAACATGTGTCCCCTCTTCTTCATGTATCTTCTACATCAACATGTGTCCCCTCTTCTTCATGTCTCTTCTACATCAACATGTGTCTCCTCTTCTTCATGTCTCTTCTACATCAACATGTGTCCCCTCTTCTTCATGTCTCTTCTACATCAACATGTGTTCCCTCTTCTTCATGTCTCTTCTTCATCATCATGTGTCCCCTCTTCTTCATGTCTCTTCTACATCAACATGTGTCCCCTCTTCTTCATGTCTCTTCTACATCAACATGTGTCCCCTCTTCTTCATGTCTCTTCTACATCAACATGTGTCCCCTCTTCTTCATGTCTCTTCTACATCAACATGTGTCCCCTCTGTGGAAAGAGATTCTGAAAGTTTCAGGAACGAAGATTCTCTCTCTTTTTGTCCTGATCCATTTCTATAAAAACCTGTCTGAAAATGAGCTGATCAGATTTTGGCCACTTTATGATGTCATAACGATTTTTTGTCTTGTGTAACCATTAGCCAATCACCAACCAAGGTAACCCCCCCCCCACACCTGATCACCTGAATCTCCTCCTAGAGCACCATTGAGTTCTTTGTAACCAAATGTCTCTCAGAGGGACGTGGGGAGGGGCTCCTGATTTTCATCTAAAGTAACAGACAGAGAATCAGCACTTTTGAAACAGGGCTGAAACAGAGGGGATTATGGGTAATGCTGCAATGATCTGTTTGGTGTTTGGAGCAAAACCCTTCAGAGACATGTTTTGTATATATCTGAGAGACCTATAATATATTGATGAAAAACAGTATAATAGGGGACCGTTAAAGCTTTTTTGTCTGACCTGTTTCAGAGTGCCAGGTCACCACAGGGCTCCAGTCGCTCCACTGGCCCACGCTGGCCCGGACCCTCACCCGGGCTTCATAGCTGCGACCCGGGAGTAAAAGCCCCTTCTCCAGTTTCACACTGGTGTTTGTGACATCCTCACACTGTAGGGAATGAGAAGAGAGTTAACTCTAGGTCACATGACGTTTCACATGGATTGTTATGTGTCTGTTTCAATGCATGGTGATGAATGGATTGGAACTAAGTAAAACAATTATACAAATTAGGAATTGCAGCTAGCTAAAATTATTAGTTTTTAAGCAATTATGTAGCATGTTGAAATGCAGAAAATGTGGTAAACATTGCAAACGCTATACATCGGCATGGTACTGTTGTCATTGTGAGCATATAAGCATACTGATATTAGCATTTGTCTCTCAACTGATTGAGACATTTTTATTTTCTTGAGCTGGTATTTCCTGTGGCATGTATATACAAATATAATTTCAGATGTTGTAATTGACTTTTCATGACCTAGACATTTAGTAAAAGCTGGCAGCAGATTATTTGATGCTAACCGTCCAGTTGTCCTGTCCATGTGTCCTGTAGCTGAGCTGATATGTGAGGTTTCTGTTCAGAGAGGAAGAGGAGGGGTACGGGCTGGACCAGCTGAGCCGCCGGCCTCCATCACCTCCATCATGGGAGGATAGATTCACTGGTGGGCGGGCTCTCACTGTACAACACAAAAACACATAGCAGTGAGACCACAATGGAAATCATTATTCGAGCAAGAATACTTGAAAACAGAGAGGTTGCTGGAAGGTTTATTGAAGGGCATAGCCTAGGAAATCAGAAGATGAACAATACAAGTGCTTGCCACCATCTCCTTTGCCAAACCTGCCTCTGGTCTGCATATTTAACTGATTCTTAGACAAGTCATAAAGCAAATGTTCTTTAGTATAAACATGCCTTGACTCCAAAAATCAAGGCGCCTCGTAAAGATTAAGATGGACGTCAAAGCTGCCTGTTGTGACCTAAGACCAGCTTAAATGATTCCTAACATCGAAAAGGCCATTCTAAAACCAAAATATGTATAAAATCAAACATTTTTGTATTTTGTAATGTACTAATAGATATGAATTAGCTCAAACATTTCTTATAACACATGTTCTTTTGCTCATTAGCACAGTTCATTATCTAAACGTACAGTGCTGGGAAAGATCCAGAGGCTTGTGTGGGACAGACGAGCAGAGTGTGTTGTTCTCCAGGAAGAAGACGGTGTGTTTGATGCCGATGGAAAATGTCCGGGTTTCATATCGACACTGGACAGTCCTGTGCTCTTTTCCATCTTCAGCACCGCAAGGCAAACACTGCTCCCTGAAAGGACATCAACACAGAGCTGTGGGACAGAGAACATGCCAGAACGACATATTCCTCATTCATGATGTCAATTAGTTAACTTGGGTTTTGAGAGAAGGGCCACACCTCAAACACACTTCAGATCACCTGCTAAGCTACTTACACCAGGTCAACACATCCAGCCTTGTTTATCCATCATTTCATGACTCATCAGTTCCCACCCATTCATCCCTTTCCCGAATACCTCATCCTTACCTCGTTCCCTTCGTTCGCTTCCTACCTTCACTTGTCCCTTCGTCCTTTGCTTCCTACCTTCACTCGTCGCTTCGTCCTTTGCTTCCTACATTCATTTGTCCCTTCATCCTTCGCTTCCTACATTCATTCGTCCCTTCATCCTTCGCTTCCTATCTTCACTCGTCCCTTCATCCTTTGCTTCCTACATTAATTCGTCCATTCATCCTTCGCTTCCTACCTTCACTCCTCCCTTCATCCTTTGCTTCCTACATTCGTCCCTTCATCCTTTGCTTCCTACATTCACTCGTCCCTTCATCCTTCGCTTCCTACCTTCACTCGTCCCTTCATCCTTTGCTTCCTACATTCATTCGTCCCTTCATCCTTCACTTCCTACCTTCACTCGTCCCTTCATCCTTTGCTTCCTACCTTCACTCGTCCCTTCATCCTTTGCTTCCTACATTCACTCGTCCCTTCATCCTTCGCTTCCTACCTTCACTCGTCCCTTCATCCTTTGCTTCCTACCTTCACTCGTCCTTTCATCCTTTGCTTCCTACCTTCACTCGTCCCTTCATCCTTTGCTTCCTACCTTCACTCGTCCCTTCATCCTTTGCTTCCTACCTTCACTCGTCCCTTGATCCTTTGCTTCCTACATTCACTCGTCCCTTCATCCTTTGCTTCCTACCTTCACTCGTCCTTTCATCCTTTGCTTCCTACATTCACTCGTCCCTTGATCCTTTGCTTCCTACATTCACTCGTCCCTTCATCCTTTGCTTCCTACCTTCACTCGTCCTTTCATCCTTTGCTTCCTACCTTCACTCGTCCCTTCATCCTTTGCTTCCTACATTCACTTGTCCCTTCATCCTTTGCTTCCTACCTTCACTCGTCCTTTCATCCTTTGCTTCCTACCTTCACTCGTCCTTTCATCCTTTGCTTCCTACATTCACTCGTCCCTTGATCCTTTGCTTCCTACCTTCACTCGTCCCTTCATCCTTTGCTTCCTACCTTCACTCGTCCTTTCATCCTTTGCTTCCTACCTTCACTCGTCCCTTCATCCTTTGCTTCCTACCTTCACTCGTCCCTTCATCCTTTGCTTCCTACCTTCACTCGTCCCTTCATCCTTTGCTTCCTACATTCACTCGTCCCTTGATCCTTTGCTTCCTACATTCACTCGTCCCTTCATCCTTTGCTTCCTACCTTCACTCGTCCTTTCATCCTTTGCTTCCTACCTTCACTCGTCCCTTCATCCTTTGCTTCCTACATTCACTTGTCCCTTCATCCTTTGCTTCCTACCTTCACTCGTCCTTTCATCCTTTGCTTCCTACCTTCACTCGTCCTTTCATCCTTTGCTTCCTACATTCACTCGTCCCTTGATCCTTTGCTTCCTACATTCACTCGTCCCTTGATCCTTTGCTTCCTACCTTCACTCGTCCCTTCATCCTTTGCTTCTTACCTTCACTCGTCCCTTCATCCTTTGCTTCCTACCTTCACTCGTCCCTTCATCCTTTGCTTCCTACATTCACTCGTCCCTTGATCCTTCACTTCCTACATCGGTTCATCCCAGCTTCCTTTGTTTATCCCCCCCTTTCTTCCCACATCCCTTCAAGCGTTCATCGCTCTGACCCTCCCACCCTTCGACTCTCATACTTCCCTTACTACATCCCTTATTTGATTTATCCTTTCCTACACCCCTTCGACCTCCATCCTTCCTTACCTATCCATTTATCCCTTCCTTCCTACATCCCTAGGACCCTTCATCCCTTCTTTCCCTACATTCCTTCAAACGTTAATCGCTCCCTCCCATGTTCCCTTTGACCGACATGCCTCCTTACTTCATTCTTTTTCAGTCATCCCTTCCTTCCCTTCGACAGCAGCCTAACACACAACATCTGGTTGCTAAATGCTAGCTATTCCAACATCTTGTCTTCACAACGAGCCGGCCCTCAAGCATCCTGTTTTCTCCCCTGATCTTTTGCCCTCACCTGTTGTCTTCTGTCTTGAACCAGAGCGTCAGGGTTGTGTTTCTGTGCTCCCTCCAGCTGCAGAGGACATGGGACTTGTAGTCGTTGTGGCACTGTAAGGATTTCAGCAGCGGAGACACTGGGTGGAGAAAAGGAAGTGTTGTTTGTTGATTACTTTGCTGAATGTATTTTCTTTGCTGTTGTGTTGTGCTGAATGTACTGCAAGCAGTGACCAGTTTCAAGAATAGGAAGTTGTACAACAAGGTACAAAAACAAGGTACACTAAGCCCTACGTTCAAAATACTACATGTAGAAGTGTAAAGGTACTATAAGTGTGTATATTATAGGACAATTCATTTCTTAATGTGTGTTTATAGCATTTCTGGTGCAAAACGTCAAACCTATAAAGATGTTTCTGTCCTTAAACCATTGAGAAAAATGGACACTACCTATTTTTAAATGAAAACAATTTGATGAAATATGTTTTGGAGAAAAGCAATAACATTTAAGGCAGTCTGCTTTACTTGGATGATGGAGAAGTTGACTTCACAGTGTAACTTTCCATAAAGAACACATTTAAGACTCAGTATTACTGTTTATTAAGTGAACAATTAATCACATTTCAAAGGCTTCTAGCATGTAGGGTAGGGGGAATCACTTTTATTATATGCACATTATTTATCAGCTTTCTGTCAGATACATTTAAAAGTACAAAATTCCCCTATGAAATGTGGTGGAGTAGAAATATACAGTAGACACAGTACTCTTACGAAGTACAAACAACCCCAATCTGAACTGAAGTCAATCGGTTACATTTGAGAACATCACTTTTATTTACTTGATGTATCACACAAACATAACAAAGGAGCATAGCTGAGCAACGATCCAGTTAATAAATAAATGAATAAATAAATAACTAAATAAATAAACAAACAAACAAACAGACAAATAAATAAATAATAAATAAATAAATAAGAATCAGAAATATTAAAAATGAGACAGTTTTGAGTATTTCATTCCAAAACAATTGTGAATATGCCATGTGAAGAGACTTACCGTTGCTGCTGCTCTCGTGTACAGAACAGCAGTCTGGAGCACAGCAGAGAACCAGAGGAGGGAGCGTTGACCAAAGCACTACCCAGTAAAGAGGCATCATTCCTGGGCACACACACAGCCAGGAGCCTCTTTTTGTCTGAGGTCTGTATCTGTAAACTTCACTCTGCGTGTTCACATCGTCCCGAAGTCTGATTGTACGGACACAGTCAGAGTCAGAGAAAGAGAGAATTAGTTCATTTACTCGAAATAATGAAGAAATGAGTCACGACCGCACCAGCAGCGATCACTTCTGCTTTAAACGTCTGCTTGTTGTGGGAAGTCACCACACATCCGCCAACCTCTTATCTCCCTCTCACATGTGATTAAAACACACACACACATGCTGTCACTGGGGACTATCAATAAATAAGATATCAAACACTGTTGACTCAGATGAGCGGTTTTACCACTCTGCCCTACAATACTGTGTATGTAAACAAATACGTATTTACAGCTTGCACTACGCTTCAATCTTTAAAACCACACCTCTTAGAAAATAAAAGTTTACCCTGTTTGGGGAAGGAGTTATTCAGTTTTGCCCAAATGTAATTGACTTGTAAGTCATTTATAGATTTATTTTTGTTTTTAAAGTGTCATTATCTGCAAATGTTATTCCCACTTGTATTTTAGTTACATTTCCAAATGTATTGCTTTTTTGTTGTATCTTTAGTTTTTATCCAAAACTTACACAACCATGTCGTTTCTGAATGTAATTCCATCTTGCTGAAGATTTTGTATCGACTTCTGAAAATAGTTATATAAATTCAAAGCATTTGTTTTTAAAATACAATTTTGTATGTCCATTTAATGATAGCTGTGACGGCCCCAGAGCCTGTGGCCTGTGAGTGTGCTGGTGTGTTGCAGGTCCTGTGATGGGGGTGGAGCTGAGGAGGCCAATCAGCATGACTGGGGACTGGCCGGAGCCGAGGTGCTACTTAAGCCCAGCTGCCCGGATTCACATGGCCCCCGTGACTCAAGACCGCTGCACAGGGACGGCCCTCCCTACAGGCCGATCATGCAGACTGCGTGGGGCCTCACCTTGCGGAGGGGGCCTCATCTGAGCCGAAAATGCGGCGCACCGATGCGCTTATGCGGCGCAATTAGTGTGGCGCGGCACGGTTTTGCCGCTGCGAGGCTCCACTAGCACCCCCTCCCCCATCGACGCTCGCGAAACAGAGGGCCTCATCATATAACTTTGCGTGGCCAGGGACCGACTTGCCGCTGCAGGAAGACTCTCGCCGGGATCCTTTCCCCTCGCCCATCCTCTCATATTCTTGGTGTTGTTTTGGAGTTGCCACAATAAATGTGCCGTGGTTTTTGGAACCCTCGAACGTCTCTCTCTCTTTTCCTGTTGTGGCCTACGAGCCGGTCATAACAACTGGGGGCTCGTCTATCGTGAGTATGAACCGGGAGTTAGTTGTGCTGTTTTGCATTTATACTTTTCATATAATAGAATATGAAAAGTATTTTAAGACATGTTGATCTCCTTTATTGACATGTTTAATCAACTTATTTAGCTTCCAGAAATCATTTTTCAATTGGTTCCTGATGATGATTTTAAGATATATTTGATGGTAGTCAAATCATATTTAAACTTAACTTTAACAAAATATTTTTTTAAAGTTAGAATATATTTTCAAATGAAGCCATAAATATGTCATTTAAAGAGGAAACATGAAAATATAACTGTTTTTTTTTAAAGTGAGAAAAAAGACAAGGTGTGATATTGCATCAACCAGGGGGAATTTGAAGGGTCACTCAGGCATAACACTGCTGTTGTACAGTATCGTGGAGGAAAGCCCCTTCAGGAGAGTGTGGGAAGCAAACAGTCACACTGATGCTGACATTTACCACAAAATCACAAAATCAAAGGCAAACTGAGATTTAATCCAGATATATCCCTGGAAAATGTGATTATGTTGGCAAATGACCGAAAGCATGAAGCAAGACTGGAAGAAATGCTGTTACCGACATTTCTCTTTACCATGACATAATTACTCATTCGCAATATTGCAACATTTCTTCCATTGTCAAACCATTGGAACCATGGAAGTCTCTTTATTCAGAAAATTCACTATAAATTCGTCCTGAGTCACAGAGGATCTCATGTCATCCACATTTTGTTATCAGCTCTAATGAAGACCAGTTGCATTTGGACTTCCTTCTTTCAGAAGAATCGCCAAATAAGAGCTATACATACATGAATATCACTGTACTCTTTTTAAGGTGATATACAGTATTCACACAATTTCAACCCTATGAAAAGAAACCTTATTCAAGTATAAATGTGAGGAATGTGACGCTACCTACCTCTTAAGCCCCACGGACCCGGTTCCGGTGTTGCAGTATAACTTGAGTCATGACAACTGGCGACATTCTATTATTTTCGTCATAGGAATCCGGGGCGTGTACATTGAGGACCCATTGTTGACTTACCATGTCGATCGCCTCGTTTGTCGTTTACGTTCATCTTTTGCTATATCTGGCTTCCTAAGATCACTTTGATGCACATTCAGTACTCGTATGTGAGGTTGTGGGTGAGAGGTGGATATCGTGACGCTTACAGGGAGGTATCGAACATTACAAAGTAGGTGACTGTGTGGCTGCCTGTTCAAAATATTGCAAACTTGAATAAATCATTACAATTATATATTTGTGTCCGACTTTAATTTGTACATCGTTCTTAATGTGATGTATAGTAGCCTTGATAGCTGTCCATACCTTCAGACAGCCTAAAAGTAAAACACAAGTTGTTTATTCACAGCCCGAACGCTCATCGACATGACTGGATCACTCATGGCAAGTTGTGATCAGCTCCGATTAAATTGTGATATAAATGCTGTAGCTATTCTCCAGGGAGCACGTTTTTTTTATGAAATACCTGTATCCCTCTCATCACAACAAGACTCAACACTGTGCAGGAAAAACAATTACATACATGAAAATAACCTTGATGCATGGGAATTAAACACACAAACTATCTTCCGTGGCTATACTGATATGTCACAGTAACGGTAAACCACAGAAAAGTAAGTCTATCCATCCAAAATATACAATTAATCCTAGAAGTTCTGCTGTCTGCAATTTACTCTGCGCGAGTTTGGGGACTTTTCACTGTGAACGTGACGAATCAGTAATGCATGACGCAGCAGACCCAACGTTTCGTTGCTCTGATTGGCTGTAGGGCTATTCAAATTGCATTCGGAGGCATTTTGATCTGACCGCGGCCGCGCTGATATTATAACGCGAGAGAATGTCCACACATTTATAAAACTCCCCCACTACTTAGACTATTCCTTGCACCCCTCTAGCATAAGCCCGAATGGTCTCAACCGTATTGCGTCATTAACGTGCACTTGTTGTTACAGCAGGATCAGTTTGTGTGTTATGGACACGACCAGTAGATTTTCGCAATCCGTGTTCTCAACATGCTTACTTTAACATACTTTTTCATGGTCGGGCTAAGGTAGGGCTAAGCCATTTCTTGGTATGGCTGTAGCCTACCCCAGCCATACCCTGGCGCCGCCACTGCCTCCCTGTAAGCGTCACGATATCCACCTCTCACCCACAACCTCACATACGAGTACTGAATATGCATCAAAGTGATCTTCGGAAGGCAGATATAGTAAACGAGGCGATCGACATGGTAAGTCAACAATGGGTCCTCAATGTACACGCCAGTTGTCATGACACAAGTTATACTGCAACACCGGGCCAACATCGCGTCATTTGCAGGAAACAACGTCTAAGGAACCTTAATATTTAATAAACTATGAATATTTTATATCCATATAACGGGAAAAAACTAATTTAACTGATCTTTTTCATTTAAAAAAACACACAATGCTAACAGTGAGCCTCTGAATTAGCCCCGAGTGAAACATGCTAACCTATTACTGCACCGAAAATCACTCCTAGCTCCCTTATTACTTATCCTAGCTGCACATCCAACACATCGTTTATGATCGTAAAGACACAGAATCTAACGGTACCCACCTCGACACTGAAAGATACAAACTCGCGACGTTATCAACAAAAACGTACATCAAAACAAGTGGCGCTAGGTAGCCTACAACGCTAACATGGCTTACCTTGGTTTTGTCTGGTCAAGACTGGTCTTCAATGGCATTAAAACGATAACAACGACGATGTAGTTAATCCATAGGTTAATATCCAATGTGGCAGTGTCCCCTATGAAATGTTCTGATAATCTATAAGCAATACAACTGCAATTCCGTTTTAAAATAGTAGAGCAGGCCATTCTTACGCTCTGTAGCAAGATTGAATGTGCGAAGACGCCATCTTTTTTGTATTAACATGAGTGTGTGCGGGACGATTTCCCTTCGATTCTATTGGCTCTAACGGTCAGAAAGAGATGTCACATGTCAACATCGAAGAAGGGGGGCCAGAGATAAGGAAAATCCACCCAAATGGCCCCAGAAGAGGTTTTTTTTGCTAAATCTGTCTAAAAAGGTCAAATATAACTTGTTTCGCATCAATCTTGATACAGGTTACTTATTATATGTTGTACTTTGGATTCCTAAAGCTTTTAGTCTACTAACCCATCATCCAAGGTTAGTTTTCACCAGTGGCGTCGCCTGGCCTGGGCATTCCGGGCTTTAGCCCCGAATGTTTTTTCTGTAGCCCCGGACAATTCTCCCTCAATAATATAATACATTAACTGTGCTTTACGTGAACTTCATCATGACACAAGAGAGGACGGTAGGACTGTAATTTCCCGTGTTCAGTGAATGCAACAGAGGCATGACACCAGACCAATCAGAGAGTTGCATGGAAATAAACGTGTGCTTGTGTCATTCAAGCTCGGCTCTGTGTGTGTGGCAATAGCACATTTAGTGTGATCGAGAGAGGGAGAGAGAGAGGGAGGGAGAGAGGGACCGTGCCAACAGGGACCGTGTTGTTAGCATCTGGTTAGCTAGCTGCACTAACGGACATAAGGAGCTGTTTGTTCCACAACAAGCTGGAGGAGGGTCCTCTCCTCTCAGACTGAGAAACTCAGGTGAGCTAAAGGACTCTCTGAGTGTTTAGATAGTTCACTTTAGTCTTGCATTCACACCTAATAGTCACTTCTCTGGTGCGCACCAGACCACAGTTTGTTACATTGTTTCATTTTTCAGAAGGTTCGCTTTGCGTTGACACGGGCAAAACTCAAACGGACTATAAACTTTAAACACAAGTCATGTGCACGGAAATTGGTGAGACATTAAGGGGGTAAAAACGCAAATCCCTGCAATTTCTACCGGAGCCTTCGCCATG